GCTTTGGCACTCTGCCAGACTTCAAATGAGCCTTCCTACAGATAAAGAGGGAGATCTCACTGCCATCAAGAGAGGAGTTGGAGGTAAAGTAGAGTGTGTCCTTGGACCTGAGATCTCTGCACTGGACCTCTTTGGCAGAGATGCCCAGCAGAGACAGATGCCCAGCAGAGAGAGATGCCTGGCACGGAGAAACACCTGGTATAGAGTGACACCTGGATGAGAGAGATGCCCAGCTGAGAGACGGTGGCAGAGGAACCAAGAGGCAGGAGATAGAGCAGTGGGTTTTCCAGCCCACAGAGTGAGAAAGCTGAGTACTCTTCGGCAGGAAGCTTGCTGGTGGGGGCGGGGGTGGTGGTGCATGTAGGTGTACCTATTGGCAGAGCCAAAAGAACTTAGTAACACTTGCCTGAGCAGGACAGAGAGACCAAGTGCCAGAGAGGCAAGCCTGAGGGTATAGCAGAGGGGAGACTGTCCTGATCGAAGAATTATATCCTGAGTGCATTCTTGAGCCTGAATTGTAACTGTTACTTCCCTAATAAACCCCATAATTGTGAGTATTGTCAGTGAGTTTGATGTGGCCATTGCAATGAATTATTAGACCCAGCTGAGAAGCAGTGAGTGCCATGGGAGGGACAGCTGGTGTCAGAGTTAGTGAAAAGTTTGGAGGGTGGCAGTACGTCTGGCCCCTTAGGAATAAGCCTTGGACTTTTGGTGGTGATTCTGTCTTCCTCTTGTGAAGTTAGAGGAGGTCAGAAGACGCTGCCCCCAAATCCTTTTTGCATCAGGGATTTCATTTTACTTGGATCCACAGTCAACATCCATGGAACCAGCAGTCAGGAAATTGAACGTCTTATTGTACTGGGCAAATATGCAGCAAAAAACCTCTTTACAGTGTTAAGAAGCAAAGATGTCACTTCAAAAAATAAGGTGTGCCTGACTCAAGCCATGGTATTTTCAATCACCTTGTATGCATGTGAAAGCTGGGCAAGGAATAAGGAAGACCAAAGAAGAGTTGATGCCTTTGAATTGTGGTGTTGACGAAGAATACTGAAAATTAGACTGCCAGAAGAATGAACAAATCTATCCTGGAAGAAGTGCAGCTGGAATGCTCCTTAGAAGTGGGAATGGCTAGACTTCATCTTATCTACTTTGGTCATGTTGTCAGAAGGGACCATTCCCTGGAGAAGGACATCATGCTTGGTAAAGTAGAGGGTCAGTGAAGAAGGGGAAGACCCTTAATAAAATGGATTGACACTATGGCTGCAATGATGGGCTCAAATACAGCAAGGATTGTGAGGATGGCGCAGGACTGGTCAGTGTTTTGTTCTGTTGTACATAGAGTTACTGTGAGTCAGAGCTGACTTGACAACACCTAACAACAACAACAACAACTTGTCTTTTCCTTTACGGGCTCCCTTTACTTACCTGCCATTAAACCTTAATGTTCTCCATCTTTTTCTTATACCATTATCGTAGACAGTCTGATCAATTCTTGTCTACTCATATACCGATGCTTAGACCTCTTTTCTGAGTGTCATACCACAGTGTCCATCCAGGCAATGGTCATCTTTAGCCTCCTGTAGGCACCTCAAATTCAACATTTTCCAGATTTGACCAACTTTTTCTCAAACAAATCTTCCTTCTTTATACTTGATTTTGGTAAATGCAGGCATTATTCCACTCAGCTACCCAACTCAGAAACTAGTCATCTTTGATTCCTCACTTTAATTTCTCATATCCACTTGGTCTCAATGCCTTCTCTCTTCTGTAGTCTTAATAGCTTGTAAACACTTACTCTCCATCCCCTTGGGCAGTAATTTACTCTCTGTGCCCTTGACCAGTAACTTAGGCTCTTCTTTCCTTGACTCGATAATTGCCTCCAATCTCGTAACTAAACTCTTCACCTCTAGTACTGTCCTCTCCAATCCGTTCCCCACATTGTGGTCAGAGCGTGTCTTCAAATTTGCGAATCAAATTGTGTCATTTCACTGTTTAAACTTTTTTGATTGTTTGCATAGGCTAGAAAAAGTTAGTTAGCAACTTCTTAGCAAAGCATGTGTTGTTCTCACGATCTGGCCATGCCTATCTTTCCATTCAGAATGACAACATCATTCTCATCTCCCTTCTTCCTCTCTATTTCAATAATACATTTACACTTTGGTGGGCTCGCTATAATCTGTGCCTTTGTAGATGTTGCTCCTTCTGCTTAGGATTTTTTTCTCGTCCCTCTCTTTTTTGCTTGGCAAATTCCCACACACCCTTCAAGACTTAGATCAAGCATGACTTCCTCTGGAAAGCTGTTCCTGATTTATCCCTCTTCCATTTGGGATAGATGTCCCCATGTACTTCCTTATAACCTTGTCCTCTGTCATAACACCAATGAAGCTATTTACTTGTCTATCACGCCAACTTTTCTCTAAGTTTCTTATTGGCTCTACTATAGTGGCTGGCACACAGTAGCTATTTCCAGGACTGTAAAGTGAGAAAGGTTGAATTGGTTCAACCAGAGGCTTAGAAGTCTGCTAATGAAGGAAGGTTAGGCAATCTACTTCCGTAGTGATACCGCCTCAGAAACCCAAGTAGGGGTCGCTATGAGTCTTGTCCGACTTGATGGCACATAACAACAACAACAATGTGATTCCTGTAATAGCCCTTGGTGAACCAAAGTTAGGTAAACCCTCTGGGATGCGGTTGAGGGAAAAGCGAGTAATATCCCTTCCGACACTTTTTCCCTTCCATTTATTTATAACATTCACAAAGACAGATTATTAACCAACATTAGCCCAGATGCTATGGAGAAAAAACATGAAAAAGCAAAGTCCTTACCCTCAAAGAGTTCACAGGCTATGACAAGGGTAGGGAAAGATACTGCTCTGCTCTAATCCCCATAAGCTGCCCATTTTGTGGGGCTATGTTCCCAATCAGAAGCATTTATTCCTTCTTCCTTTTGATATGAATGGTGAAGAACTATCTCTGCCCTGGTTTCCCAGGGACACTCTTTAAATTATAAAGTTAAAAATGAGAAAGAGAAAAGCAATCCCTGACATCTAGGAGGTGGCCTGGTACTCTCAGCTAGGCCTTCCTTGGTGTTGCTATATCTGGCCAGGCAATCACAGCTAGGTATTGGTGTTCTCCTGTTAAATAATTTCACAGAACATCAACATAGGACAAGGCCTCTGTGACCCCAATGGAGCAAGACAGAAACAGGAGCACTCTGCAGTCATGACTGAATTCAGACAAAATACAAACATTGTCCAAGCCTCAAAATATCAAACATACTCTATTCTGGCAAAAATGAGTGACAGTTACTTCCTTACCAATTACAGCTTTAGCCTCTCTTTAGTCACCTCTTACTGATAGCATCTAACACAGAGCAAAGCCATGTTTCTTTAAATTCTCTCCAAAATCATCTAACAGAAGTACAAATCCTATAATAGATTCTCTACATTTATGGTTGAGTAATAAACCAAATTGTTTATGGTGGGTTCCTGGTAGTCTTTTGCTGGAGAGCACTGACATACAAAAGATGGAATATCTTCAAAATACAAAAACAGTAAACATCAAGAAAAGGATTAACAACTGTAAAGATGGCATAGTGGGGGAGGCATCTGACTTCCTCTAACTTCATAAGTGGAACAATAATCAAGATCAACAGCCCAAGGCTGATTTATGAGGTCATCAAACACCTCCACCCTCCAGCTTTTTTTTTTTTTTTTAATCAATTCTGACTCTAGTCATCCCTCCCATGACACTCTCTTCTCTGCTGGTTTGATAATTCTTTGAAATGGCTATGTAGAACTCCACAGACCATACTCACAGTTATGGGGTTTATTAGGGAAGTAACAAGGTTCAGGAATGTTCAGGATACAACTCTTCCATCAAGACAACCTCTTTTTAGCCATGACCATAGGCAAATCTCTCTCTGGCTCTTGACTCCTTGGCTTGGCCTCTGTTCTGCTTGAGCAAGTGTTACAAAGCTCTTTTAGCTCTGCCAATAAGTGCGGAGAGACACTTCACTCCACCAGCAAGACTCCTGCCCCAAAATCTCAGCTTTCTTTATCCAGGGGCTGAGAAGCCCAGGAGGTCTCAGAGTAGGTACCCCTAGTCCAAAGGATGTGATCTACTCCTGCCTCTTCTTTCTTGGTCGTTGTGAGGTCCCCCCTCTGCTTTGGAATTGGCTCTTTTAAGCCTAGTGGGATGGCAAAACTGACCAATCCCTTCATTAGGGTCCCATACAACTTATTTGCATGGTCCTACCCCCACAAGCTCAGAAGGAAAACTGGGCAATCTACTTCTATAGGGATACCACCCGGGAAACCCAAGGAGGGGTCACTATGAGCTGGAATGGATTTGAGGACAGTGAGATTTTTTTTTTCTCCTCCCATCTCCACAAGGGTGCCATACACATTATACATTAGTAGCAAGCTATCCAATCCCTTTGGTGGGCCACACACATCTCATTTGCACAGTCCCGCCTAGTCATTTGTTAGGAGCTACACAGACTATGGCTAGAAGGGCCATATTAAGTAATTCACTGCACCACTCTCAATATAAAACTGGGCCAAAAAAAAAAAAAAAGAAGAAGAAGGGAAAGCACAAGAGAAGAAATAAAAAGAAATGGCTTCATAAATAACTACTGAAAAAAATGCTTTGAATTCAAATGCACTAAATAATGCTGCCAATTCTGTTAGTGAGGCTTTCATTTCAAAACTGAGACCAGATGATCTCGCCGTCCCTTTCCTGAAACCTCAACACTAAAAGCCTGAAAAATCCTGTAGTAGAGAACCTTATCCTCTACCAAGTTAGAGGCTTAGTTTCTTTGCCTCAGCAACGGTAATACCACTTTCCCCAGTAAGTCCACATTTCCGCGGTCGACTTGGTCCTCCACAGAGCTCGGCGGCGCTCAATCGCCCCGTAGGTGGATCGCAAAGGAAGACTGCTTTAGCTGCCCGGCCTACTCGATGGTAAGGCTCTCAGCCGCCTGGCTTCTGGGCGCCGCCATGTTGGGGGCTCAGGGCCGGAGCAATGGCTGCGATCCTGCGAGTGAGATCTCGAGCCAGGTCTGTACCGCCCGGCAGATGCTGGAAGTGTGGCCTGGGCTTTACCTAGGTGGAGCCGCGTCCGTCGCGGAGCCGGATCAGCTGAGGGAAGCGGGCATCACCGCCATACTGACGGTGGACGTGGAGGAACCCGGCTTCAAGACAGGGGCTGGGGTCGAGGGTCTACGGCGCCTCTTCGTGCCAGCGCTGGACAAACCCGAGACCGACCTGCTCAGTCACTTAGACCGGTGCGTGGCCTTCATTGGCCAGGCCCGTGAGGAGGGCCGCGCAGTGTTGGTGCACTGGTGAGTGGCTGGGTTTGCCGGGAGACACCCCCTTGCCTTGCTCTCTCGATCTGTCACTACTCCTCTCCTCTGAGGCTCCTTCACATCTCGGGAACCTACTCTCTGGTCCTCCTGCGAGAGGCTTGTGTCGGAGAGAAAAGGAGGACAAGAGGTAGGGTCCTGATGGTGTGCTTTCATTCATTCGTGTGTTGGTTGGTTCATTCAGCAGGCTTTTGTTTTGTTTTGTTTTTATATGTTGTTAGGTGATGTGGAGTGGGTTCCCACTTAGAGTGACTCCATGTACAACAGAAGAAACACTGACCAGCCCTGTGCCATCCTCACAATCTGTACTATGTTTGAGCCCATTGTTGCAGCCATTGTGTTTATCCATCTCATTGAGTGTCTTCCCCTTTTTCTCTGACTCTCTGCTTTATCAAGCATGATATCCTTCTCCAGGGACTCAGCCTTCCTGATAACATGTCCAAAGTAGATGAGATGAAATCTTGCCGTCCTCACTTCTAAGGAGCATTCTGGCTGTACTTCAAGACAAATTTGTTCATTCTAGTCATCCACGGTATATTCAGTATTCTTTGCCAACACTGTAATTAAAAGGCATCAGTTCTTCTTCAGTCTTCCTTAATCATCGTCCAGCTTTTGCATGCATATTAGGCATCTGAAAATACCATGGTTTGGGTCAGGCACACCTTAGTCCTCATAGTGACATCTTTGCTTTTTAACACTTTATGTTTTTAATTTTTATTGTGATTTGAATGAAAGTTTACAGAGCATTTTCCATACAGCATTTCGTTCACATTTGTTTCATCACATCCTCCCCATGCACTCACCAGCCACCCTTCGCCCCCAGCTGTCTCCCTGTGCAAACATTGCCCTTCTGTTCTCCCATGATCCATAGCTCTAAGGAGTGTATTTACCTAATGTAAATGTTCACCCCGTATGCCTGTGTGTTATTTGTCGGGAAGCCACAGGAATGAGTTCAGTTCCAGAGCAGAAGGGTAACTAGGGGCCATAATCTCTGGGGTCTCACCAGGCTCTGTCAGACCAGTCTTTTTTTTTTTTTTTTTGTGATTTTGAATTTTGTTCCACATTGTTCTCCCACTCTACCCAGAACTCCTGCACTGATCCCTTTCCAAGTGGTTAACGGTGGTAGCCAGGCACCATCTTGTTCTTCTGGTCAGTCACATGGTCATCTAGGCAGAGGAGCGCATGGTCTACCTATCCCTTGCACTAGTTATTTCCATGTGTCTTTGGTTTTCTTCGTTCTTCTTTGCTGTGGTTGAGAAGAGCATCGTTGCATATGGATGGCAGCTTGCAAGCTTTTAAGACCCCAGTTGCTGCTCACCAAAGTAGGATGTAGAACAATGTTTTTGTGTAGTATGTTATGCCAATTGAGCTTGCTGTCCTCTGTGACCATGGTCCCAAGCCCACAGGTCTAACTACTTGCTCCCTCAGGGTCGCTGGCTGTGGCCAAGAAGCCACTACAACCTTGCCCCGTGTGAGCTCCACTACACACCCAGACATTCTTACAGCACATACGAATACACGTGTAGAAAATTGTCGGCCAACCCTATATGTGGTCATGGGCACACAACCCTCTGCCTAGATATTCAGTGAAAGTTATAGTCTTTGATCTTCATTCAGTAAGTGCTTCAGGCCCTCTTTGCTTTCAGCAAGCAAGGTTGTGTTAACTGCATGTTGTATGTAGGTTGCTAATGAATTTTCCTCTAATCCTAATACTGAGTTCTCCATATGCCCCAGCTTCTTGGATTATTTGCTCAGCATACAGATTGAATAAATATAGTTAAAAGACTTAACCCTGACACACACCTTCCCTGATTTTAAACTATGCAGTGTCTCCTGGTTCTGTTCTATAAATAAGAAAGTCCCTGCCCCTGAGTTTACAGCTGTGTAGGAGAAGGCAGCTACCCACCCTGATGAATGTAACACAGACTAGGATGAGAGTCCTATTAAGAGAGAGATTAAAAAAGACTAAGTTTGTTCACTCTTCAGAGAAAGCAAATTATTTTAATTGTTTTTCCTGGGGTGAGGGGGTGGTTGATGGGGAGAATTGGAGACAGAAAATTGGGTTAGCATCTAAAGAATCCCTGGATCGTGTCAGGGGAAATAAGGGATGAGTTGCAGAAAGGTGAAAGAATAGAAAGTCTTGATGGGTATTTGGAAATCCCTAAGTAGTCTTATTTTAAGTGGAATGAAGCATAATAACATAGTTTATATTTATTGAACACTTACTGTGTGCCAGCGCTTGTTCTGATTGTTCACATAAAGGAAAGAAAGTTGTGATGGATAAAATTGAAAGAAGTCTGAGACCAGATCTCAAGGGCACTGAATGCCGGGTACAAAGGAGTTTTGATTTGTCTTGAAGACATTAAAATTTTTTAAAAAAATTAATTATTTTTGAATAGGTAATATGTATACTTGGTTCAGAATTCAAAAAGAATGAAAATATTCAATGAAAATTCTTCCTCCTGTCTTGCTACCTGGGCACCCAGTTCCCTTTCCTAGAAGCAGTGAATGTTAACTTTCTTATCCATCCAGAGAAGCTTTATGCATAGTAAAGCAAACACTTGTGTGTGCTCTCTTCTCTTTGTTTTATTCAGATGCCAGCATATCATCATACTGTTGTGCACCTTATTTTTTTCACTTAAAACATATTAAGGATTGTCACATATCAATACATACAGAACTTTTTTTTTTTTTACAGCTGTACGTATTTATTCAGTTTTATTAATTACCATAATCAAACATATCTCACTTAATGAGCATTTAGATTAATTCCAGTATTTTACAAACAGTCATAACCTTTAACTTACTCATTTTGTCCCATCTATAAGTATACTTATAGGGGAAATTCTCAGAAGTAAAATAGTTAGGTTAAAAGGTATGTACATTTTTAATTTTTGATTGTTGTTGTTGTTGTTGTTATTTGCCACCGAGTTGGCCCCAACTCATAGCGACCCCTCCTTGGGTTTCTGAGGCAGTATCACTACGAAGGAGGATTGCCCAACCTTCCTTCTGAGTAGTGGCTGGTGGGTTTGAACCGCCAGCCTTCTGGTTAGCAGTCAAGTGCCTTAGGCACTATGCTTAATTTTTGATAGGTGCTGCCAAATTGCTTTTTGTAAAAGCTTTAACATTTTATACTACCGACAGCAATGTACAAAGTCCGTTTTCCACATCCTCTCCAATAAATGAATTATCAAATCTTTTGCTTTTTGCCCATCTGACAGGTAGAATGCATTTCGCTTGAAGGTTGTTGTGAAGGGAGTTTTAAATAGTAGAATTGATTCATGGGAGGGGAGATGAGTATGAGAGACTCATTTTTCTTATTACTTGGAATTATTATTTTATACCATTAGAGTAGTTCTTTTAGACCCAGTTTGACGTTTTAAAGTCATATATAGCTCTTATATATACATAAAAAGAAAACTACTGTGTAAGGAACATAAATTGGTTAAGATACTCCTAAAATTTCTTCAATTTAGGATCTAATACTTTTATTTATTTTGTTATTTAATTGTGATTTGGTTGAAAGTTTACAGAACAAATTCACTGCCCATATAGCAGCTCACATACACTTTGTCTCATGATGTTGACTGAAATTTCCCACAATGCAACATCTCCCCTCCCACTTCCTCCCCATAGTTACCTCTTCCCTGTGTCCATCCCTCCATGCACTCTTGCCCCTGAGCTGTCTCCCTGTGCATACACAGCCCTTCTATTCTCCCATGATGTTCTCTCCAAGGAATATATCTATCTAATATAAATGTTCAGCTCATATGCCTATCTTTTGTTTGGCTGGAAGCCACAGGAGTAGGTTCAATTTCAGACCTGAAGAGCAGCTAGGGGCCATAGTCTCAGTGGTTCTATCAAGTGCTATCGGACAAGTAAATCGGGTTCCTTTTTTTTTTTTTAATGATTTGAGTTTTTGTTCCACATTGTTCTGTCCTACTGGCCAGGATTTCCTACATAGACTCCCCTCCAAGTGGTTGACAGTGGTAGCCGGGCACCGTCTAGTTCTTCTGGTCTCATAGTCGTATAGGCTGAGGATCACATGGTGTACCAGTCCCTTGGACTAATTGTTTCCATGCATCTTTGGTTTTCTTCATTCTTCTTTGCTCTGGACAAGGAGAGACCCATTGTTGCATCTAGATGGCCACTTGCAAGCTTTTAAGATCCTAGTTGCTACTCACCAAAGTAGGATGTAGAACAATGTTTTGTGTAGTATGTTATGCCAATTGAGCTTGATGTCCCCTGTGACTATGGTCCCAAGCCCACAGGTCCAACTACTCGCTTCCTCTTGGTTGGGAGCCAAGATGTGACTACAACCTGGTCTCTTGTCAGCTCTACTATATACCTGGGAATTCTTAGAGAACATACTAATACACTTGTAGAAACATTGTCTGCCACCCCTATACATGGTCTTGGGCATACTCCCCCCAGCATAGACATGCCTAATAGTTCAGCCTGCCCAACCATCTATCCGCCTGCATATCCAAGTTTGCCTTCATTAACAACACAGTAGTGTTTGTGCAAAAGGGTTCATCCGTGTTGTCTGTACCTCCCATGCACCTCTCTATGTCTTCTTCTTCCTCAGTGCCACAGTGTTGATCACTCACATTTGGTACATTGCCCTTCTCTTCACCCAAATCAATACTTGTTTCTACCTGTCTAACAGTGTTCCCACCCCTCCCCGCTCACCCTTGGTAACTAACAAAGAAAATGTCATTCCATGTGTAAACCTTTCCTTTTTACAATAATGGACTAATACAGTATTTGTTCCTCTGTGATTGACTTATTTCACTCAGCATAATGTCCTCCAAGTTCATCCACGGTATGTGGTGTTTTGCAGATTCTACATTATTCTTTAGGGTTGCACAGTATTCCATTTTGTGTATGTACCTATAGTTTGGTTATCCATTCTTCTGTTGATGCGGACCTACGTTGTTTCTATCTTTTTGCTATTGTAAATAGTCCTGTGATGAACA